GCGAGATGGTCCTCTTTGGCGGAGGCTTCGGGCTCGGTATTCCAGCGGCCCGTGTGGTGCTGTTGACCCAGAATGGTGGTCTCATTCCGGGTGCATCTTCAGGGTATTCCATCGTTCCTCAACACCTCTCCCCAAGCCCAGCAGCCGTCAATTGTGATGAACTTTGTCTCATTTTTACTTTTTAATCATTATGTATGGCTTCTGTCATCAATGTGGCACGGTGGCTCAGTGGTTAGCACTGCTGTCTCACAGCGCCAGGGACCACGGTTCGATTCTAGCCTTGGGCGACTGTCTGCGTGGAGTTTGCACATTCTCTCAGTGTCTGTGTGAGTTTTCTCTGGGTGCTCTGGTTTCCTCCCACAGTCACAGGGATGTGCAGGCTGGGTGGACTGGCCTTGGTAAATTACCCGCAGTGTTCAGGGATGTGTAGATTAGGTGGGTGTTAGGGGGCATGGGCCTGCGTGGGATGCTCTGAGGGTCAGTGTAGACTTGTTGGGCCGAAGGGCCTGTTCCCACACTGTAGGGATTGTAGGACTTGAGCCTGTAACTCTTTGACAACAAAGAAATTCTACCTAGGCGCCGTGGCGGGGCGAATCATAGACCTTTTCATGTAAAAGTACACATGACAATAAATGCCTGTTAGAGATAGTATTTTCTGAAGAAGGGTCTCGACCCGAAACGTCAGCTTTCCTGCTCCCCTGATGCTGCCTGGCCCTGCTTCCACACTGTGTTAATTAATAAATTTCTATTCGCGTACATACGAGTCCCACAGGTATCCGGTCACCCACCTGTTTCTTGCCCGGGGTGGGCAGCCACAACGTGTGGAAGGTGTCCCTGAGCCTCGGCCAGCCGCAGGGGGTGGGGATCTTCTTTCCGCTCCACCAATAGATAGGCCCATCCTTTCACCTCCATAATAGCTGAGAGGGCGGGATCGATCCCTCACGGCGGGGTTCCTGTACCCAGCGCGGAGGTGAGTAAAGCGCGCACACCCGCACCCCCCCCCCCGCCGCCACCCTCGCGGGTCTCGCGCCGGAGCCGTTCCAAATTGGAATTCTGCCCGATTTGAATCGACGCGCGCGCGGCCGTTGGTGCCCGGTTTCCACGGTAACCAGGCCTGCCTACCTACCTACCCACCCATCCTCCCTCTCTCCGTGCCGCCAAGTTGTGAAGAGACATCTCCCCGGGGAACGTGTGGTGGGGGAAGGGGGTAAAGAATCGCTAGACCTCTCGTCGCCCCGCGGTGCTCACGATGATCTTTGGCGGTTGAGGCTCGCAGAAAGGTGCATTTTGTAAAATCGAGTCCCGCTGATTTTAGGCCCAGCCCAGCGCCGCCGGGGCACCGCGTCCGCCTGAGGGAAGATTTTGGTGAGGGGGGACGGCGGGGTGGGGGAAGGGGAAAGAAGGGATTGTGTTCTCTTCGGTTGTTCGCAGGAGTCGGGCTGGTCTTGAGGGGACACGGGTACGAAAAGCCCTTGCGCCCGCCTTGTTCGGGGTTGCACCCCTCCCTCGTATCAGGGACATGTCTGGGCACAGCCTCCGCTGAGTCAGCCTTTCTCTCCCTCAGCTCGGGTTGTCGCAGCTACTCGCGTCGGTGGAGTCATGCTCGGACATGTCAAGGCAGCGAAACCTCCCGGAAAGGGGAGTCGCCCTGACTTGCCCTTTGCCCAGTTCCTGCCTGGTCGGGGTCAGATTTAAAAGCCTCAGCAAGTTGTCCGCAGAAGCAGAGTTCGGCTTAACACGGCGGGCGCCTCGGTTTTAAAACGAGTTGAATAGCGTACGTTTTTGTTTTATCCCCAGTGCACACGTCTTTGCTTGAGAGCAATATTGAAAATATGGCAACCAACGGATCGGCACCCTGCCTCGGGACTTCACAAGATGATCAAGTACTACAGGCAGATCAGGACTGTCAAGTGAGTTTTTATTGACCATTCTGTAGCTTTCGTAAATGTTCTACAAAGAGAGTTTCAAAAGAATTATCTAGTCCTTTCTAAACATGCTTAATGTCTCAGCAAATGTTTTGTTTTCAATCCCCCTTCTGGAAATTGTTTTAGGTGAAACCCAAGCCACTCTTACTTAAGTTGTTGCACTTTGCTGGAGCACGAAGTGAAACCTTCACAATAAAGGAGGTTAGTCAACCATTAAGGTAGCTTTATTTTATGAGTGATATTTGGCTGTATGTATCTGCTGAACTTTACATATACAAAAGTCAGCCATCGTTCAAGACTAGCACTCTGTTTCAGTCAGGTTTAAGAGCTAACAACGTGTGCCAGAAGATTGACTACAAAATCCAGGCTGATCCTCAATGCAACACTAAGGAAATGCCAAAATGCCAGATATTAAAGTGATGTTTGGCTTCTCAGGTGGATGTAAATGTTCCTATGACATATTTCAAAGGAAAGCATTGGCATTCTCCCCTGTGTTCTAGTACTTGTACAGTATATTATTTCTTGTAATGTGCTAAAATGCTGCACAGCCAATTAATTACTTTAGAAAAGCGGTCATTGTTGTATAAGACAGATTCCCAGCGGCTGAAAGATTGGGGGTATGCAGGTATGTAAAATTGATGTTAAAATCAGATCAGCTATGATCTTATTGAATGGCAGAGCAGGCTGAAATGGCCTTCTCTTGATCCTTGTCAGTATGTTCCACATCACCTTTGTGTACATTAAAGCGCCAGATGTGGCAGCTGAGATAAATGACTAGTTTTTGTGATGTTGGTTGAAGGAGGCTGGACCACAAACAGAAGTGAAAACTTGCTCACTCACTTTTGGCTAATGTTTTGGTGAACTTTGTGTACAACCTTTGCCACATTAAGTGGCAGTTATCATTAAAGCCTAGTACTCTCTTTTGAGTTTTTAAGAGTTCAGAACGCATGCCAGAAGATTCTGTTATAAAACTAGTGGAAGCATGGCTCTTCCAGTAAGTACAGCCTCCTGAGAATTCCTTGGATATTTCTTTTGTCTGTAGAAACACTTGCACCTTGTACTGTAAGTCTTTAAACATACTACTTTATAATTTAGTATTTGAAACTATTGTATTGAAGTCTTGAACTGAAAATTGATTGTTTATATTTCTTCTGAACAGGTAATGCACTACTTGGGACAGTACATAATGGCTAAGCAGTTGTATGATGAAAGACAGCAACATATAGTACATTGTTCTGATGATCTGCTGAGTCACTTGTTTGGAGTGCAGAGCTTTTCAATTAAAGAGCCACGGTAAAGTAGATTTTTGAAGACAAACTTTCAGAATGTTTTGTGAACATGTTGGAAGAGGGGTGAAAAACTTCTTTAGATTCATTATGTAATTTAGCTTGCATTTTTAATGTTTATTACTTACAGCACTGAGCTTAATTTTGGCTGGAATGACATGAAAGTATGGCTTGACATTGCTTTTTCCCTATTCTTAACGATAAGCTGAGGGAAAGAACTTTGCCATTTTTCAAAATTGTATTAAATGTACTATGGTAAACGTAATAGGATATAGGTCTCTGATTCTAACTCAAAGTCATTAAAACACGGGTGGGGAGATTGCACATGGTTGGAGGGATGGAGAACATGGAGTAGGTATTAGTGATTGCACTTGTGATTGTCTCTCTACCTTAGTTTGTACAGTTTTTGATTACTGGTTACTTTGGTTACACCCTCATCATGTGATTCTAATACCTACCCATGTTAGTCCAGCCGTTTGATTTGTCTCTAGCTCCTGGATGAATAGGAGAGTGTCTTATGGATGTTATAAGCTTTTTTTTGTTTTTAATACTCATTTGTGGATGCTGCTAGCTGGCCAGCATTTATTGCCTTACCCTTAGTTGCTCTTGAAGGTGGTGGTGAACTACCTCCTTGAACTGATGCAGTCCACCTGTTGTGTGTTGACCCACAATGCCGTTAGCAAGGGAATTCCAGGATTTTGACCCAGTGACAGTGAAGGAATGGTGATATACTTCCAAGTCAGGATGGTGAGTAGCTTGGAGGGGAATTTGCAAGGGGTGGTGTTCCCATATAGCTGCTGTCTTTGTGCTTCTAGATGGAAGTGGGTTTGGAAGTTGCTGTCTGAGGATCTTTGAATTTCTGCAGTGCATCTTGTTAGATAGTAGCAGCAGTATGTACTGAGCATTGGGTGGTGGAGGAAGTGGATGTTTTGGATATAGTGCTAATCAAACAGGTTGCTTTGTCCTCAACGGTGTCAAGCTTCTTGAGTGTTGTTGGAAGTGCACTCATCCGGGCAAGTGGGGAATACTTGTACGTTCTGCTCGCAGAAAAGACCCTGAACTACCTGAAGTTTCTGAACTTTCTGAAGAAGTTCAGCTTTCCTGCTCCTCTGATGCTGCTTGGCCTGCTGTGTTCATCCAGCTCTACACCTTGTTATCCCTGAACTACCTGTTGCCTGCCACTTCAATGCACCACCCCTGTCTCTGGCTTGCTGCAGTGTTCCAGTGAAGCCCAACTCAAGCTGGAGGAACAACACCTCATTTTTCCGCTTGGGGACCCTACAGCCGTCAGGACTCCATACTGAGTTCAATAATTTTAGGGCCTAAACTCTCCCATGTCCCAGCCCCCCACCCCACACACCAGGCCTTGTTACCACAGCCTGCCATTACACACCCCCTGTTGTTAGTCACTAACAGTCCCCATTAACAACTATTCACCCTCCCAGCCTGATCGTTAGCAACTCCTTAGTCTGTCCAACTGTCTATCCTCTCTCTTTGGGCTCTATCCTATTGTTTACTCCCTACCCCACCCACCTCCCTATGTACTACATATAAACTGATGTTTTCCCAGCCACCATCAGTTCTTAGGAAGGGCCACTGGACCTGAAACATTAACTCTGTTTTCTCCTTCACAGATGCTGCCAGAACTGCTGAGCTTTTCCGGCAACTTTGTATTTGTGGGGAGTACTTGTGACTTGGACAGGCTTTTAAGAGTCAGGAGATGATTTACTCACCACAGTATTCCTAGCCTTTGACCTGTTGTTGTAGCCACTGTTTGTTTGGTGAGCCCAGTTGAGGTTCTGGTTAATGATAACCCCCAGGATCTTGATATTAGGGAATCCATTGAATGTCTAGGGGCTGTGTTTACATTTTCTTATTTGTGAGGTGTGAATGTTACTTGCCTCTTCTCAGCCCAAGCCTGGATATAGTCCAAAACTTGTTGCATTTGAACACGGACTGCTTCACTATCTTGAGGAGTTGCGAATGGTGCTGAACACTGCAATCATCAGCGAACATCCTCACTTCTGATCTTATGATGGAGGGAAGGTATTAAGTATTATGTACAAGATTAATTAGTAAAAATTAGAATACACAGAAGAGGGGTGGGGCTGTTCTTGGGTGATAGGTTGATAATGGATTGGCACATTGGAAATGGATAAAGACAGAGTGTGCATTCTGACTAGTGTCATAGACTTGTACAGCATAGAAACGGACCCTTCGGTCCAACTCATCCATGCAGACCAGATATCCTAAATTAATTTGTCAGCATTTGGCCCATATCCCTCTTAAACCCTTCCTATTCATCTACTCATCCAGATGGCTTTCAAATGTTGTAAATGTACTGGCGGCACACCACCCTCTGCATGAAAATTTTGCCTCCTTAGGTCCCTTTTAAATCTTTCCCCTCTCACCTTGAACCTATGCCCTCTAGTTTTGAACTGGAAATATGACATGTTCACTAGAGATCTGTTCTGAAGATCAACAATTTGCCATCATCATTAAGGGTTGGAGTTCAGAGCAAATTTTGTTAAAGATTGGTTCTGCGATCCCTGAAACAGCTGCACCGGTATCAACCTCTATTAGAGCAGGTGACCATTTAACCGGACATTTATTTTGATTGGAGACGGTAAGGACTGCAGATGCTGGAAGCCAGAATCCATAAATATGGAGCTAGAAA